CATACACAACCCTTCTTTCTCCCATGATTGTTCTCTCCAAGGAGTGTATCTACCTTAGGTAAATGTTCAACTCCTATGCCTGTCTTTTGTTTGGCTGGAAGCCACAGGTGTGGGTTTAATTCCAGATCTGAAGGGCAGCTAGGGGCCATATATAGTCTCAATGGGTCCACCAGGCTCTATCAGACCAGCAAACCTGTTCCCTTTTTTTTTTTTGGTCAAATGATTTTAAGTTTTGTTCCACATTGTTCTCCCACTCTATCTAGGATCTCCTACACAGATCTCCTCTGAGTGGTTGACAGTAGTAGCTGGGCACCATCTAGTTCTTCTGGTCTCAGTCGTATAGGCTGAGGATCGCATGGTGTACTAGTTGCTAGGACTAATTGTTTCCATGAATTTTTGGTTTTCATTTTTGCTCTGGACGAGGAGAGACCCATCATTGCATCTAGATGGCTGCTTGCAAGCTTTTAAGGTCCCAGTTGCTGCTCACTAAAGTAGGAGGTGGAACAAACAATGTTTTGTATAGTATGTTATGCCAATTGAGCTTGATGTCCCCTTCAACTATGGACATTAGCCCACAGGTCCAACTACTCGCTCCCTCTGGGTAGCTGGCTGTGCCCAAGACATGACTACAACCTTGTCCCTTGTCAGCTTTACTATATACCTGAGACTTCTTACAGAATATAGCAATACACTTGTGGAAACATTGTGGCTAGCATGGCAGACTGGTTTAATAACCAACCCAAGATGTCCAATACTGTGCTTATATGCACAGTTTCCGAGGCTGTAAATCTTTACAGAAGTAGATTGCACTGTCTTCCTTCTGCAGAGTGGCTGATGGGTTTGAACCGCCAACCTTCTGGTTAGCAGTCAGATGTCTTAAGCGCTGTACCACCAGAGTGTCTTTGCTTATATGCAGGAGCTGCGCATTACCTGCCAGGGCGCTCTGGTGGTGCGATGGTTAAAGCACTAGGCTGCCCTAAGCAGACTCCATGGCTGTGTGTCGGGTTTCCAGTTCTTGACCTTCCCAGCTTGAGGCCCTTGGTAGCTATTTCACAAGTCTTAAAACTGTAGCACTATCCACATCCCCCTGCAAACTGACCCCAGAGACGGCCTGAGGGTTGAGCCAGCTTTGTGCTCCGCAGGGACCCTGCCCAGTGAAGTGTTAGACTGGGGGCTGGACAGGCCACGGCCATGATCCGGCAGTGTCCTTGTATCAGGTGCTCATCCTGTTCTCAACCATGGGTGTGTGTGGAGATCCTTGCAAGCCCGGTCAGACCGTAGTGGGGATTTCAGTGTAAGTCACATGGATTTGTGGGATTAGCTGCTGTTTTTGGTCTTTTATTCCCTTCATCTGTGCACTCAAGAGTGATCTGTTGATACAAGGGGTCTTCACACAAACTTTGGGTCCTGTGGGGCTTGAGCAGCCTCAAAGCTTGCAGAAAGTAGTGCTGTGGCTGACCAGACCTGCAAACCTGAGTAGGTTCAGGTAAACCTAGTAACAGCTGAAATTAGCTTAGAAGCCACTCAGCCGGGCTCAGAGACCTGGTGGAGACCCTGGTGGAGGAGCTGCCGGCGAGGGGAGGAGCCGGAAAGCCATCTCCTGCCTCTTTGTGCAGCTCGTTGTGCTGTGTTTTCATTGCTGGCTTTGGAAGAACTAACATGGTTCTTTGTAAAACCCACACACTGACTCGAACCTTTTTGGGCCTCGTTGGTCCTGCTTCTCTGCCTTTGGTTTTAGTACAGACAGAGGGGCCCTTTGGGCGCAGGTGCGTGGTAAGCTAGAAGCCCCCTGCCCAGGACTGAAGCGAGGGCAGTGGCCAGGCGTAGCCTGCAGTGACAGACCCGTGGCCGCATCCTGTCAGTCCAGCCCAGCCCCTGCGTGGGGCCGTCCTTGCTGTGGTGTGGTGACAGACGGTGCCCGGGCAGGGTCTGGGCGCCTTCTCCGTGCATGCTGTCTGCTTCCTGGTGGAGTCCAGCGGTCGTGAATTCTTAGAGGACTGTCTTTCCACCGTTTTAAATCTGATTCTGTGCCCTGTCTCGCAGGTATTTTATGCACGGCGTGTGTAAGGAAGGAGAGAACTGTCGCTACTCGCATGACCTGTCTGACAGCCCGTACGGGGTAGTGTGCAAGTATTTCCAGCGAGGGTACTGTATTTACGGAGACCTCTGCAGGTAAGATCTGCTACTGTTTTGGGGGTGGGCCGGGAGGGGTTGGGGGGACAAGCTGCGAGTCAGATGCGGCATTCCAGTTCTTCCTGAGGGACACATTACCGCTCCGTGGGAACTCCTCCTCCGGGGTGTTTGTAAGAAAACCACAAAACCCCCACACAAAGCACAATGAGAAGTTTAAGGAAGAAAAAATCCCAAGCCAAACCCACGGCCGTCCACTAGATTCAAACTGGGAGTGATCCTGCGGGACAGAGGGCAGCCGTCCCCCGGGGCTGCTTCAGCTGTGACCGTCAGAGGGCAGAGGGCCAGGTCTCTCTCCCACCGAGCACATGGTGGGTCCAAACCCACCTTTCGGTTAGCAGCTGAGCTGAGCCCCTGTGCCCCCCGGGCTCCTTAACACTGACAGGTCTCTCCAGGTGGAAGGAGTGGACGGCATGACATTTTAGAAACAAGTTGGAGGTACGCCCTCAATTTCCCTGCTGTGGGGGAGCAGCCTCTGCCCCCCGGCTGGGGGTGGGTGTTTGTCCAAGGGCGGGTTTGTTTAAGACCCTTTCTTCTCCCCCAGCCATGAGCCTGTTGGACTGGACAAGACTGGCTTCGGTCGTCCTGGTAGTATCTTTTGTGAAGCGACAGTGGGGTGGTGGGCACGTGGACTGGCGCACCCGGGCGCTGGGTGAAGAGGGCTTGTCGTCCCCTGAGCTCACCGTACGGATTACTAGGATCCGGGGCGGCTGAGACCCAGGGACGGTGCTTCAGGAGTGCCTCTCACCTCAGAACCCGGGGCGCTCGGTGATGACGTCATCGAGGGCCATCTGGCTCTGTTCATCGCGTCAGAACCCGCCACTACAGCCCCACAGTGGTGGACTCGCTTTAGACACTGGGCAGAGCTTTTCCTCTGTCATCGTCCCAGTTCAGAAAATGGCAAGGGGTGTTTGTTATCTGGTGCCGTGAAATCACCCCCACAATTAGCTCCTTAAAGCAGCAAACATTGTGTCCCACGGTTCCTGGGAATCTGGGACCTGGGAGCGGCTTAGCTGGGTGGTTCTGGCTCAGGGCCTCTCCTGAGGGTACAGTCGAGCTGCAGTTGGAAGGCTGCCCAGGGGTGGAGGATGGCCTTGGAGATGCCACGCTAGTGTGGCCCTGGGCCGAGCCTTCTGTTCCTTGCCTCCTGGACCTCTCCACAGGGCAGGTTAGCGTCCCCACGACCCAGCAGCTGGCTTTCCCCAGGGCAGTTGATCAGAGAGAGAGAATGACACCACAGTGCCTTTTATGACCTAGGCTCAGAAGTCACTGTCACTTCCATTTGTTAAAAGCAAGTCACTAAGCCCAGCCCACACTTGAAGAGGGGAGGGACGCGTTCGGCTCCATCATTGGAAGGGAGGCATGCCAAAGAATTGGTGGACATGTTTTAAACTACCACACTAGGTAAGACTATCTGGTAAAGTCCTAGCCAGTTTTAACGTCATGCTGTCTGGGAAAAAAATATATCAGTTATTGGGTTTTAATAGTTTAATAGCTTAAAGTTCAATCAAAACCAAAACCAAACCCCTACCATTGAGTCGTTTCTGACTCACAGCACCCCTAGAGGGCAGAATAGAACTGTCCTATTGGGTTTCCAAGGTTGTTAATCTTTATGGAAGCAGGCTGCCTCATCTGTCTCCCGAGGGGAGGTTGGTGAGTTTGAACCACTGACCTTTTGGTTAGCAGCTGAGTGCTTAAACCACTGTACCACCAGAAAGGTATATCTTTCAGAAATAGACTGCCCCATCTTCCTTCCGCGAAGCGGCTGGTGGGTTTGCACTGCCAACCTTCTGATTAGTAGTCAAGTGCCATAGGCACTACACCACCAGAGGTCCCTTCGTATTCAACAGAATATGAAATTATTAATGAGTGGAATACTAATGTTTGTTGTTTTGTGCCGTCAAGTTGGACCCGACTCATAGCGACCCCCTCCTTGGGTTTCTGAAGCAGTATCACTACGGAAGTAGATTGCCCCATCTTCCTTCTGAGGAGTGGCTGGTGGGTTTGAACCGTCAGCCTTCTGGTTAGCAGTCAAGTGCCTTAGGCACTAAGCTACCAGAGCTCCTATACTAATGTTTAGTCACACCATATCTATTTTATTAGGAAATCCGATAAGGATGGAGAGAAAACGATAGTTGTCGTAGGACCACGAGAGCTGAGAAATGGGTCGTTTGGAATCTGAGTTCAAGAGCCCTGGGTGGCACCATGGTTAAGCACTAGCTGCTAACCCCAGGGTCAGCAGTTTGAATCCACTTGCTGCTCTGTGGGAAGAGGACCTGGGGATGTGACTCTGTAAAGATCCTAGCTTTGAGGACTCTGGAGCAGCTCTCCTGCAGCCTGGAGGGTCACCGTGAGTTGGGATTGACTTGACTCACACAAAGGGTTTGGTTGGAGGTTTTGGAATCTGAGTTTAGTTGGCATTTCACTCTGCTCATTTTCTTCTATTGTCAGTATTGCTGGAAAGGAAAAACTACCCCCCTTCCAAAATGTGTGTGTGTGAGAGACCATCAGTCATGTCTTACAGTCACAGTATGAAGGAGGACAGGAAATGCTACATCCATCTTCCGTGAATGAGCAGTTCTTTGTAGGGTGAGCTCTGCAGATTACCCAGACCAGGGTACCTGGAGAGGAGCTGGGCTCACTGACGGGCTGGGCAGTTGAGAATCATTGTGAAGTACGGCAGGCGGGGAATTGAATGTTGATGAACACGGAGGATGTGAGGTGCCGGACGGAGCCGCCGGGGGGACGGGACACACAGACGTCATTTCTTCTAGTTTTCGTTGTGGTGAAAATACAGTAAACCCTTCACCACTTCGACACTTCTCCACGTGGTTTTCAGTGACCTGGTTACGTTCTTCAAGTTGTGTGACCATTCTTGCTGTCTTTTTCTAGATGATTCCGCCATCAGTAACCACCACTCACTGCCCCCTAATGCACATTAGTTTCCCTTAGGTGTTGCAACAAATAGCACAAGGTGGGTGGTTTCAGACAACAGAAGTTTGCTGTCCTGCGGGTCTGGAGGCTGGGAGGCTGAGACCAGGCTGTTGTCCGGGTCACTTCCTTCGAAAGTGTTACAGTCTTGCCGAGGGACTAGCTGAAGAAGGATCTTCCGGGGGGTGCGCTTGTTCCAAGACTGGTTGCTTGCTTTTTACAGTCAAAACGGGGGACTTCAACCGACTTACTTTACCATTAGTGCATGAAGGTCTTGCTGGGTGTCCAGGGACTTCAAATAATTTAACTCATGATAGAGGGACAGATCATTTACCATGAAGGGGGACAGCAGGGTCACAGCAGCCCAGTGTGCCTGGAGCAGGGTTTGGGGGTAGGGGTGCTGTTGGGGGTGAGACCAGCTTCTCTCTGTTGAGGACTCCTCTGCATCTTGTGGGCCTGCTGGCATCCGGCGGCCCCTAAATGCCACAGAACGCTCGAGCACTGTTTCTGGCCTCCCCCCGGGGGAAAGGGCAGGCTGGCCTGGGCTCTCAGTGGACTTGGGGTTTCCTTTGGAGGAGCTTTGCCCCGTGGACCTGCTGAATCTCACGTTGATGACAGTCTGTCCAGGCAGATACTGGCTGTGGAGTGAGCAGGGGTGGGGGCTTGCTGACCAGCCAGAGCTGAGAGCTCAGAAAGAAAAGAAAGGGATTGCTGGAAGTCCACACCACAGCAAAGTCTCCTTTGGAAGATGAGAAAGAAACGCTCACCTTTGGTTTCAGAGTTGCCTCAGCGGAAATTCATCGCTTAACACTCTCCTACAAGGATCAGAGAGTCTGAAAACCCAGTAAAGAACGAATTTAAGAACTAGAGTAGCCCCTTCCACGAGACGGCCTGACTGGCTACACTGTCGGGCTCACATACCTACTCTGGGAGAATGGCCCAGGACCGGGCAACGTTTAGTTCTGTTACACAGGGGGATCGCTGTGAGTCGGAAGCGACTCAGTAACACCTAACAACGGCCGCTGCCCTGGGCTGTGGCTGCAGCAGGTGGGAGAACCTTTAAGGCAGGTTGTGCACTTGGCACAGGGCCACGCAGCCTGCCCTGTCCCTCGAGGTGGGGCACAGAGCAGCCTCGGAGCAGGCATCAAGTGGTGGGTGAGCCTGTGCTCCACTGGAACTTTCTGAGCATCGAAGTGTTTCCTGTCACTCCTCTGGGTCTTTAGTCTCTATTTTCCCCCAGTTGGAACCACTCTTGGCTGGGTTAGCTTTGGCCTTCGGGCCACAGTGGGCCAGGCCCTGCTCTCGGGCTCCTGACAAAATGGGGATCTTGGGTCATCTTTTCTTGCGTGCTTTATCGGTGCCAGCTTTCTGCACGTCGTCCTTTCCGGTTCTCACGGACTTTCACTGCAGAAGTGCTTCTGTCCGGCCCTCTTCGGCCTCGGGCACTAAGGACATGAAGACACCTTGCCAAAGTAGGCGTGTTACAGGGAGAGGGTCTTCAGATCTCAGCACTGGGTTTCATTTTAATGCTCTCTCCCTCTCAGTGTAATCCCTTCAAGGCAATGTTCTCATGTGACGTATGTTCCTTTTTTAGTGGAACGCTTTAACTTTTGAAGTTTTGTTTTTTTTTTTTTTTTAATTTTCCACATAGATTCGCGTCTGATGACGGACCCTTCTCTCTTCAGCGGGGACTCCCCAGTCTGGGCGCTGGCCTTGATGCCACCGAGGGGTTTGTGACCAGGAGCTGCTCGGCCCTGGTGGCTGTGAATGTGATGGGGCATCTCTGTTCCATTTTTAGGGTTTGTTTTTTTTTTCTGTTTGTGATCTTGGGTGAAATTTTACAAAACACATTTGTGTTACATTCAATAGTTGATACACATTTTGTTCCGTTCCCCACAGTGTGCCAGCTCCCCTCCCACTTCCTGCCTGTGGTTACCCTTGCGCTGTGTGGTGCTTGCCTCTGTTCCTGCCCTCTCAGCTATCTCCCTGTGCAAACACTGCCCTCCTGTTCTTCCACGGTCGATCATTGTAAGGAGTGCATCTCCCTAATGTAGGTGTTCAGCTCGTAGGCCTGTCTGTTACTTGGTGGAAAGTTAAACCATGGGAGTGAGTTCAATTCCAGGCCTGAGGGGTGACTTGGGGCTGTAGTCTGGGGGGTTCCACCAGTCTCTCTCAGACCAATAAGCCTGGTCTTTTCTCCTACTCTACACAGGATCTCCAGTTTGATCCCTTTCTGAGTGGTTGGCATTGGTAGCCAGGCACCATCTAGTTCTTCTAGTCTCAAGGTCATACAGGCTGAGGTTCTCATGGTCCATTAGTCCTTTGGACTTTGGATTAATTGGGAGTTTTTTATTTTCTTCCCTCGTTTACTCCGGGTGAGGAAAGACCAACAGTTGCCAACTTCTGTGGCTGCTTGCAAGCTTTTAAGACCCCATTCACTGCTCACCGAAGTAAGATGTAGAACACTCTATACCATGCTGTGTCACTTGAGCTTAATGTCCCATGTGACTGTGGTCCCCCCAGCCTGCAGGCCCAGAGGCCCACTCTGTCAAGGTGCTTATCTGTGGCTAAGAAGTTATCCTGGCTTTGCCTCCTGTTATGTTTAAACTGCATATGGACTTTTGTAGCACATGCAGACCCACATGGAGGAACATCATGTGCCACACCTACCTGTGCTCGTGGGTCTAGTCCCGTTTACCTCGCCACCTAGGTGTTCCCCCAGAGATGAGTGTCTGCTGTTACTGGTAGTGCAGTATTGTGTCTGCAGCGGCACTTGCCTTGGCTGTCTGTACTCAGTTTCTTTTTATTCTGTTCTTACAACAACTACTTTTAGGCCCACACACAACTGTAGAATATTTGAAAACACCGACACTTCATTTAATTGTAAATGTGGGCTTTCTCATGAATATCCTGTGTTTTCCAAAAGGTGACTCAGCTTGTTGACTCCTTGGTAGTTCAATTTACCTGAATATCCAAGTGCATTCCTGCTTCGTGCAGCCAGGCGCTCAGATGGCGGGAGCGTCCAGTCCGAGAGAGGAAGCGTTTCTATGAGCCCATGGCGCCGTGGGCCCAGGAGCAACCAAGGCCTCTTCCCTCTTCTCTCCGTACAGAGCTGCTCCTTCCCCTTCACTTCCTTCCCCAAATTCCAGCTGCTTTTCCAATTGACAGGCTGGGAATTTGGGAAGACTTCATCTGGAAAGTGAGAGTGTGGGGCTAGCATCCAGGGCCCCCTCCAGCTCAGGGGAGGGCTGTGGAGAGAGCTGCCCGGGGAGGCAGACAACCTCTCTGCACGTAGCTGTGGGATGCTTGGAAAGGTGCCTGCCGGAGATGAGACTGGGGTGGATCGGACACTAATTCCAGGGTCAAGGGCAGGTGTGGTCTATGGCTCCAGAGTTATGGGACACTCATGCTGCCAAGAGGGGATGGAGCACTGCTCCCAGCGTGAAGAACAGCTCCCATGATTCCAGGCTGTGTAATGAAATGCATCTGTTCATTGTAGATGATTGCAGGTGGGCTCAGTGACTGCATTGCTGGACACAGTGGCTGCCTGATACCTGAGAGCGTGAAGGTGAAGGTTGAGATAGCACCATCTAATAATTAGACCCCTGCTCAGCAAACATTTCCCCGTAAGCCAGAGGTCACCTTCGTTAGACGGGGCTGCTTTATTATTAGGTCTGGACACAGACACCTGTGACACTCATGGCTCACGGCTAAAACAGAAAGGCATTGGTGAGCATTGAGCCCATGTTCACATGTGTCAGGGTAGTGCCATGTCCCATTGGGTTCTCAGCCCGTTTTTCTGTAGTTTGTCTCCAGGCCTGCCTTCTGAGGGCCTCTCTGGGTGGGCTCGAGCGCCAACCTTTAGATCAGCACTTTGACCTTCTACACCACCCGGGGACTGTCTCTGACCCTGGTTCACACACACGCAGTTTACATGGAGTACTTACATTTTCCTCTGTTTGTTTAATTGTCTCAGAGTAAAACTCTTAGCATAAAATGCTCAAAGAATTGTGAGAATTTCCTCGTGAAGGAAAAAGAATTCTGTTTTTGGAGATGTGATTTAATGGTAGTTTTATGAATGAAGAGAAAGATGAGACTGTGAGGAAGTAATTTGGAAATGGAAATAACCAGGTGAATAGATGGCTATAGAAAAAGAAAGTACGTGTTATACGGTCTCTTAATACTTTGTGCTCTTTTTAAAAATTGGGAGTGTTTTCAGTTTGTGTAGGTCCCTTACTAACCTGAACGTCAACCTTTCTTTGATGAATCCAGCACACATTTGGCTGCTTGCTCTCTTTGGTGAGTGACCATGGGAACTGTCATGTGTCCATGAAACTCTTTGACTGAAGTGGGTTTGGAAGTGTCATAACTCGTCTACAACAGGGGTGGGCAAACGCAGCCTGAAGGCCAAATCTGGCCTCAGATTGTTTTTGTCTATAAAGTTTGTGAACTGAAGGGTGGCCTGTGACTGCTCTTGCATCATGGCCACTGAGGTGCATATTGTGGCAGAGGCCGGAGGGCCTGTAAAGCCAACGCTCTTCACTGATTGGCTCCTTCCGGTTTGCCGGCCCTGGCCTGCAGTCTCACTGCTGACAGTCTGTCTCTAGATGAGTAGGGTTGCATCATACGGGGCTTGTTAGGCAGGCAGCATCACGGCCCCTCCAGACTTAGAAATCTGTTGCCTGCGTTGGAACATCTCCCAGGCGGTCCATATGTCTGCGGAGAACACAGCACAGTATTGGAATATACCCGTGTTCCCTCTAGAGTCTTGTTCAGATGGTGACTGCTGACTCTTCATTGATTTGCAGATATGAACATAGCAAACCGTTGAAGCAGGAGGAAGAGACTACTACAGATCCAGCTACAAAACCAGCCGTCGCTGCTTCCTCAAGTCTCCCGTCAGGAGTTGGACCACTTGTTGAAATGAGCACGGGTGAAGCTGAATCGAGAAATTCAAACTTTGCAACTGTCGGAGCAGGGGCAGAAGACTGGGTGAATGCTATCGAGTTTGTTCCAGGACAGCCCTACTGTGGCCGTAGTAAGTATTCTGAAGAATAAAGGAAAAGTTTGAGGATTACACAATTGTTTGTCAGTCAGTTAGTTCTCACCACCTTCCTTCTTCCAGGCTTCATACGTAGCATAATCTTTATTACTTGAAATCGGGTTACCCAAGATGTGTGCATGGAGTAATAGAAACTCTTTGTATCCTGATAGAAGTAAATTTAGAATCCTGTGAAAAACAAGCTTTTCCGCTTAGTACTTCTGTTCGAATTGCACAGGAAATCACATAGAACAGTTCTTCTACAACCCTGATGTCAGCAGCACCAGCAATAGAAGGAACTCAGTTCTCAGGAGTGAGGAGAGTGGTCGAGGAGACCATTGGGACGTTAGAAAGAACTTGGTTACCACGCGTGACGAGAGTGGTTGAGGAGACCGTTGGGACGTTAGAAAGAACTTGGTTCTCAGGAGTGAGGAGAGTGGTCGAGGAGACCATTGGGACATGAGAAAGAACTTGGTTCCCATGCGTGAGGAGAGTGGTCGAGGAGACCATTGGGATGTTAGAAAGAACTTGGTTCTCAGGAGTGAGGACAGTGGTCCAGGAGACCATTGGGACATTTGAAAGAACTCAGCTCCCATGCGTGAGGAGAGTGGTCCAGTAGATTGTTGGGACATTAGAAAGAACTCAGTTCTCTCAGGAGTGAGAATGGTTCAAGAGACCATTGTGGAGTTTAACTGAAGGTCTTTGGTGTTTGTGCTGTTGACTTCACAGTTACCTGATAGTTTGTAAGTTCGCCTTGTCCACCTTGGAGCTTTACCAGCCTCTTAAATATTTCAGCTGCCCCTTCCTGCACTGAAGCGCCCCTGCAGGGCTCAGTGACCAAGGAGGAGCCCAGAAAGGAGCTGCCCGCTGTGGAGTCAAAGCAGCAGCTGTGCCCGTATGCCGCCGTGGGCGAATGCCGCTATGGGGAGAATTGTGTGTACCTCCACGGGGACTCGTGTGACATGTGTGGCCTGCAGGTCCTGCACCCAGTGGATGCGGCCCAGCGGTCACAGCACATCAAAGTAAGTCTGTGGGGACCGTATGCTCCCAGGCAGGTGAAACGGGTTCCCCTCACCATGTTGTCATTTCAGAGAGACACCTGGTACCTTGAACGGCCAGCGGCAGTGAGGATGATCTCCTGCCTGGCTTCCCGAAATGCGTTTCCAAATGTCCCCTGGCCAGAACCCACTATGTGGGTTTTTCCTCTGTGCTTTTTAGTAACAGCTTTTTTGAGGTAGCCACACCCTGAACAATTGACTCTTCAAATGTGTGCTTACTGGTTTTCCTGAGCTGACAACTGTGCCACCATTACTGCTCTCTTGTTCCATTTTGGAACACTTCCATCGCCACTGAAGGAACTCCTCCGTCGTCCGCATTCTCCCCTCCCTGCTGCTAACCAGTCTGGGGCCTCCCGGACTGACCTCGTCCGGAGACTTTATCTAAGCAGGACCACGTGAGATGTGGCCTTTTGTGACTGACTTCACTCCACATGATGTTTTCAGGCTTCGTTCATGTTGTAACGCGGAGCAGGGCTTTCCTCCTTTGTGGGGTTGTGTGCTGTTCCACGGTATGGCTGTGGACTGGGCTCTTGTGGCCCCTGGGGCTACACTGGCATGGCTGGGTGAGATGGTGACTGCTGTGTGGCATTGAGTAACTTAACTACCAGACTCTTTCCAGACATGGTGGCACTGTTTTACCATCCCTCCAGCAATGTGTGACTGTGGATTTTAAAGCCACTTACAGCTTGAATGTTTTATTGGGAAGACATTGCACGGCGGGCCGTTTCCCTGTTGGAGTACATGTTCTTTCAGCCCTTCTGCTGGCCCAAGTTGATACAGTCATGTAGGGGAGAGTGAGTGTGGTGTGAGAGAGACCTTGTTTGAAACCCTGGCTTCATGGCCTACAGCCCTGTGGGTTTAGGCAGGTTAAATCCCTCAGATTTTTCAAGTATATATTGAGGACTCATAGGAGCCGTGGTGGCACAGTGATGAAGCACTCGACTGCTAACCAGATGATCAGCGGTTCAAACCCACCAGCTGCTCCACGGGAGAGGGGTGAGGCTGCTGGTTCCATGGAGATTTATAGCCTTGGAAATAGTGGAGCGGCTCTACTCTGCCCTGCAGGGTTGCTGGAGTCAGAACATCGGGTTGGGGTTTTGGGGTTCATTGGGAATAATAGTGCCTACCTTTGAGGATTGTTGAACAGATATAAAAGATTTTTAAAAAAGGCAAGGAAATAAAAATGGTAAGTGGCTGTGTGGGATTGTAGGTGACTTTTCTGTTGGCTTTTCTACATTTTTTATACTTTTTTATAATGACCATGGTTCTTAAAGAAAGTATGGGATGTCCACACAAAACAGGACCCAGTCCGCAGCCCACAGGCCAAAGGTGATCCAGCCAAGGGTGGTCCTGATGGGAGGGAAGTAAAGACTCGGGACTCAGAAATGATACGAAACTGCAGTGTCAGTGTTTGTGGCGGCATTGTTCCTGGTGACCGCACACTGGGGGCTGCTCGGTGGGTAGAAAGTGCAGTTGTGCCCGCAGTGGGATGCTGCTTGGGAACACAGAGGGGCTGAGCACTGACTGTCCACTCACACGTGGCTAGCCCTGGAAGACGTGATGCTGTGAAAGAAGCCAGACACCAAGGCCACACGTGGCAGGAGGCCGGGACAGGCAGAGCCATGCAGACAAAGGAGATGAGTGGTCCCCTCGAGCTGAAGGGGGTCGGGAGACAGGGAGAGACTGCCAGGCCGCTTGGCCTTCTTTCTGGCTGATGAAAGTGGCCAGCTGTGGGCTGTGGTGACTGTTGCCCGGTTCTGTGAATTGACGCAAAGCAGCTTAGTTTCACACTTCCCGTGGGTGGGTTGCGTGGTGTGTGAATTATGTCCCAATAAAGCTGTTGTTTTTTTTAAAGGTATGTGGAAGGTCTGGGCCTGCCACGTGTTTGTCACCTAATGAATATTAGTTCCCTTCCCCTTTCCTCTTTTCTGACAGGATGTCAGTTGGGGCCTTAATGCTAATTACGTGCTCTAGTTATCAACCAAAAAGCCAACAACCTTAGCATGAAAACTTACCTCTGTGGTGGGTGTGGCAGAGGCTGAGCGGCAGGGTAGGACAGAAAGTGGGGTTGCTGTTGACCCTTCCAACTGTTCTGGAAGCTGGGTCTTCACAGTCAGTTTCGCAGGACTGTCAAGTGTTCCCTTGTGAACCAAACGTGTCCTTACTTGTTGGCAGTAGGGATGTGCTCCTCACGTGCTTGCTGTCCTCAGCTGACCGTTTGGCCCTGTGAATGTGCGTCATCAGCCTGGCATGTGCAGGGCCCTGACCGCACCTCCTGTCTCTCGCTCTCTGCAGTCCTGCATCGAGGCCCACGAGAAGGACATGGAGCTCTCGTTCGCAGTGCAGCGCAGTAAGGACATGGTGTGCGGGATCTGCATGGAGGTGGTCTACGAGAAGGCCAACCCCAGCGAGCGCCGCTTTGGAATCCTGTCCAACTGCAACCACACCTACTGTCTCAAGTGTATCCGCAAGTGGAGGAGCGCGAAGCAGTTTGAGAGCAAGATCATAAAGTGAGACTCCTCCCCACCTCCGTTTGTGCTTTCTCTTTCCGGGAAGGATTAGTTACCTTGTGCCAACCTCCAACCAGATGGACCGCATTTAAATGCATGCATTGTACCTTGAACTGGGCATTTCTTGTTTGTGTATCAGCTAGCTTCTAGCTTAGTTGGTCTGTCGACTTTGATTTGGGTGAGGAAACCCTATGTACTGTGAGTAGAATCTTCGTGCTGCTTCTGAGGAGGCTGTGTTTAATGGATTAGCCAGTCAAGGCGCAGTGAACAGACGTACCTAGCTCTGAATGTATGTTTCTTCCGTTTTACGGTTTCCACTTTCCGGTTCCATCCATTAAGCTAGCCAATAACCCACCATCCTTTAAAGATTGTTCTCATAATGGAACAGAACGACATAACCGAAACAGAGCAAAGTTACCAGAAATAAATTTATTTAAACGAAAGAAAAAGGAGTCTGTGTGAAATGTCTTTTCTCTTGTTTTTTGACCCAAGTCATTTTTGTTCTCTCTGAACTGGCCAGCCGTTGAGTTGAATTTGTAAAGGCGTTTGTACTGCCTCACGGGAGTGGTCAGTTGTGTGACTGTGTGGAACCCTTTCAGGAGATGCCCGCCTGCCTCCAGTTCCGTTTTAAAGCTGGGTGTGGCGCACCGGGGTGTGTCCCTGAGAAGCGGGCCTGAAAGGGGACCCGCATTGCAGCCTCTCCATTGTTTCCCAGGTCCTGCCCTGAATGCCGGATCACATCTAACTTTGTCATTCCAAGTGAGTACTGGGTGGAGGAGAAAGAAGAGAAGCAGAGACTCATTGAGAAATACAAGGAGGCGATGAGGTATGAGTGCCGTAGCCTCTTCTCGAGCTTCGGCCCCAGCGGCGCTTGGGCTCACTTTGAAAAGAGCGGAGCTGCCTGCCTACTTCCACCTCCTTCCCACCCTCTCTGACTCCCCAGTACGGTTTGTTTGGTCACCCCTGACAGCGCTTACCCACTGTGTGTGCTGCTGTGACACGGTCCGGGGGTCCACGCCGAGGGACTGTGTTACAGCAGCGTCTGTACTGGCGGCGGCCACAGCCCTGGGGCTGGGGCTCGGCCGGACGCCGCGTCCGCCTCGGCGCGTCCTCTGTTGACCTGTGTGTCGGCTTGCCAGAGGCCTCTTCTGCTCTGTGGTGCTAGAGCTGCTTCTCAGCGGAGACCGGGCAGCGGGCCTGCTCCTTGTTAGTGTGTCAGCGCACCTGGGGAGGGCTGGCGGCAGGCGTGCTGGCTTGACCCCTGCCTGGACGCCCGCCGACACAGGCCTGAAACCAGTGTGAATAAGGGTTGCGGTATTTTCCTTTCCAGCAACAAGGCGTGCAGGTATTTTGATGAAGGACGTGGGAGCTGCCCGTTTGGAGGGAACTGTTTTTACAAGCACGCCTACCCTGACGGCCGTAGAGAGGAACCACAGAGACAGAAAGCGGGAGCATCGAGCAGATGCCGGGTAACTCTCGCGTTTTTTTAAAGGAGGGGAAGTGCCTCGCTGTCCGTTGAGTCCCGCACAGGCTGGGGTAGGGAAGGCGAAGATCGCAGAGGTCGGGGCGAGCCTAGCGTGTGGAAGGACAGACACCCCAGGAGCCTGGGCGGGATGTGAGGACACAGTGGAGTGCTGGGCACTCTAGACTAGGCCGTGTGTGCGCCACGCCGCCCGAGGGGGGGCGTTGGTAAGACGGACCCTAAGTCAGAAGTCCGGCTCGGCGTGCCCTCGGCGTGCTGCACGGTTTGCCTTAGAAACCACGGGATAGAAGATGCCGCTGAGCAGTGCCCTCCTGTCACGGCTTGTGTTTTACAGGCCCAACGCAGGAACCACTTCTGGGAGCTTATCGAGGAAAGAGAGAGCGGCAACCCCTTTGACAACGACGAAGAGGAGGTGGTCACCTTCGAGCTGGGCGAGATGCTGCTCATGCTGTTGGCCGCCGGTGGGGACGAGGACCTGACGGACTCGGAGGACGAGTGGGACTTGTTCCATGACGAGCTGGAGGACCTTTACGACCTGGACCTATAGCAGCGACGGCGCACGCACGGTGTGCGCCGCGGCCAGTAGCTCTTCCCGGGGTGCGCGGCAGAGCCCAGTGGCCCTCGGCAGGCCTGCCCGCTCCAGGTGCTGTTGAAATCATTCTCACCCAGAGTCTGTCTGCTCTGCCTACCGCCCCCAGGAGGGTGTTGTTTTCTCTGTTTAAAAAAGTTACAAAAATAAATCTTGAAGTTAGTTTCTTTGTAATATGAATTTAACTGTCAGACAGTTAGTGTAGGCTTATTGTGTCATCTGTCTTCGGCCAGATTCACACGGTTCTAGGGCAGTGTGTATGGACTTGCCACACTCACTTTGAGGACCCAAGGTTCAGAATCAGAACATCGGCCTTGGTGACGGTGAGGGGTCCACGTTGGCAAGGGACCTCCTGCCACGGCTGACGGGGTGGCAGCCTCCTCACTTCCGGTGACACTTGCACATGTGTGTTCTTCTCTCTGTCCCTACCCCGTAAGCCCGAGCACGTGCACTTGTTCTTGTGTGGTTTGGGTGTCTTAGTTGCACACGTGTGACACTGCTGGGGACCGGGACAGGTGTGGGTATTGAGGGGTTTCTCTGTTGAGCGTGGCAGGAAGCACGCACACCCTTGAAAGCCGGGCCAGGCTGGGCGCTGATTCCAAGCTGACAGGGTGCAAGTGAGCAGGGACGCGGCGTGCTCCTCCCTGTGTAGAAGCAGTCGCCGTAGCCTTAGCGGAAGGACCAGGTGTAGTGGTTCGGCACAGTGTGGCAGGTAGCTCTTAGAGGGCACAGCATTCTGTTGATGTTGGTAGTCATTGCCTAGGGCAATGCTAGCTCTCTGTCTATATGAATAGAGGAATGGAGTTAGCCACAGAGGAGAGTGACCTGGTTGTCCCTGATACCAACACAGCCTGGGTCTCAGACACGCCGTTCTGTTTCATGTTCATGATGCCAGAGTACAGGCACTTTTTAAGCCCTCTGTCCTCATTGAGGGGTTGTGTTGTCGGGTTTTTGTGTTTGTTGTTGTGGGTATTTGGCCTCATTCCACTCCTGAGCCTTGCAGATAGACCGATGTGCTTCAGAACCGCGCTCTGAGGTATGGCCTGTTGTGAAGCAGGGTTACCATGCAAAGCCACACTGCTCCCCCCAGTGGGGTGCGGGTGGCAGTCCATGGGACAGGCTGAAGTTGAGGGGTTCCGTCATCAGAAAGTTGGCTTGCATGCATGGCTCCGTCTCCTGGGAATGGTGTGGAGATGTTCCTGGTTGTCCCATCTACTGCTTTGATCTCTCAGATCCACCCATCCTCTCACTTTAAGAAAAACCAGTAACTGTTGCAGAGGTCTCTGTATTTTGCAGCTGCCCTTTTGTAAGAAGCACTTTTCCCAAATAAAACAATAACAAACCAACCAACCGTCCAAGCTGGCTGGCTTTCTGTGTCGTGTCACAAGCTCCTGGGAGATGTGCAGACGCCAATGAAGAACATGTTTCTTTGTCCAACTCTGAGCATTTCATCAGTTAGTCACGTTTCTGGGGACATAGTTTTACTGAGAAAAGAGGCACCTTTTCTGTGACACCTAGCCTGCTAAGAAGCACTTACACGAGGAAGAGGGAGGCCTCACAGCTGAGCCCATCCAACGCCTCCCTGTCCTAGCATTGACAGCAGTCACTCGCTCACCTTTACAGCCCAAAGGCACTGCCACTTCTCTGCCCCCAGGTGCTGGTGGGTGGGCCTACGTCACAGCCTCAAATGACGGCTTGGTAGGTCACAGTGTACTACTGTGTTTGAAAAAGGTGTTTCTTTAAATAACTGCTGTACAGGTTTTTTTAATTAAAATAAAATCTTTGCTGCCCCTCCCGTAGAAGACCTGCAGACGACGTATTTGCAGCACGTATGGAAGTGTGACCACTCGGTCTGCAGTGGGTTAAGACCTTATGCTGCTAGAACTGCTTCCGCATCTAGGAGTTGGACTTCCTGTCATGGTGACGGTTGTGGGTGGAACATGTGTCTGTCAGCTCACACGCCAGCAGCTCTTGGAAAAGTCAGAAGTCCACCAAGGCTGCTGGCTGGCTTCCGAGGTGGCCAGCTGTTGGGGAGAAAAGGGGGAGACCAAAACCTCTGCTCTTTGGTGTTTGTAAAGTAGCTGCCCCATGGGCTGATCTGAGCCTGAGGGGAGATTGGGGTGGGAAGACTCTCAGACGCTGGGCTGCTTCTGGGGAGCAGGTAGGCTTGTGTTTGGAACTGGGTGGCACCAACGGTTGGCCCTCGACTCCTAACCGGAAGGTTGGCAGTTCAGGTGCACCCAGTGACACTGCAGAAGGAAAGCCTGGTGATGCGCGTCTGTGGACGTGACAGTCATGGAAACCCCCTGGAGCAGCTCTCTGTAAGACAGGGTCACCGGGAGTGGGGATCGACTCACCGGCAATGGCAATGGTTTTTGGTCCATTGGGAACAGCTCCCTTTGGAACACGGGAGAGGCACTGGCCGGTTAGGTCTCCGTCTGAGCAAACTATAGCCTGTTGCTATTTGGTCACTGCCTGCACCGAGATGGCTCCTTTGCCCATGGCCGTCTCCTTGAGTGTGGACGCCAACTACGAAAGGAATTAGGGTAAACTGTAGGGGCGGGACTTCTCACTTTCTTGGTTGCACAAAGCTGTGGTCTCAGCTTTTCTCTGGCCATGCACACACCATAGTGATGTTCACGTCGTCACTAGCAACCGCAGACACGCACAGCCTCTTGCTTTAAACAGTTTGGAGAAAGCCAAGCAAGTGCTGACAGGTCTGGCAGTGAGATGGGGGACGGGAGGCACGCTCCTGATGGGGGCGTTGGGGGCCTTGGCGCCAGCCCCAGATTTCCAGGCCTCCGCCTTCTGGGTGTGTGGAGTGGCTGCCAGCTGTCGGACTTCCATGGGCCGGCAACATGAGCAGAAGTGACGTGCCCCATGTAGGGTGGGGCTGTGCTGTGTCTACCCAGTCATTGGTTGACGGACACTAGCTTTCCAGCTTTAGCTGCTGTGAACATTTGTGTACAAGTTTTCATGGTGGACGTGTTTTCAGTTCTGTTGGGTGTATACTTAGTTAAGAGTGGTGGTTTTAACTCTTCAGGGAGCCACCCAGGTTTTCCGTAGCAGCTGCAGCATGTTACACTCTCACCAGCAGAGGACGGCAGTTCCACTTTCTCCACAGCCTCACCCACACTTGTCGTCATCTTTCTGATCATAGCCATTCTGGTAGGTGGGAAGCTGTCTCCTCGCGGTTTTGGTCATGCCACTGTTTGTATTTTTTGACCGAGCTGGAGCCGGACCCTCTCCTGACATCACAACCCCTGAGTCCTGTCCCAAGGACATGCCCCATCTCCCTCCCAAAGCCGCTCTGCACTGTTGGAGCGCCGGGGCCGTAATTTGAAGCCCATGCCGTCCGTCTGTAGCACTGTCGCCGGCTTAGGCTGTGTTTTGTAGAGGAGCCACACCAGCGAAGCGAATGTGTGTAATAAATAGAGGTTTATTTCAAGGAAATGCTCACACTGCTGTGGAGACTGCCCCAAATCTGTAGGTCAGGTGTCAGGCTGGAGGCTTCTGACTCAACACGGTTGCAGGGGCTGAGGCACCCAAAATCGGCAGGTCAGATGGCAAGCTGCTGGCTCGCGGGGCTGTGGGAGCTGATGAATTCAAACTGCAGGTCGGACGGCAGCGCACGTGCCCAGAGTCAGAGGTCAGAGGATGGTAAGTCTGATGCAGGGTCGACACAGCGAGCTTTGCTAGAACATCCACGTATGTTGGCTGGAACCCACACCCCCAGTGCAACTGATTGGCTACTCTCGTCAGATGACAAAATGGAGGGTGATTACATTGTATTACGTTACAGAAGAGCGGTCAATCTGCCAAACCACAGAATCGTAGCCCAGCCAGGTGGACACACGTGAGCCATCAAAGGCCAAAAGATGACCAGCATGGTGCAGGGTAGCGCACATCTGCAGCCATCGCCTGACCCTCCCCGCGAGTCTGTAAGGCAGTTAAGGCCAGTATTGGCTTCCTTTTGCAAATGAAACCAAGGTTCAGCCCAGTGGCCACCAGCTGGCGTGCCAACGATGTGGCTTGGATTCCATCTCGAGGCTTCTTTATGCAGGACTGCTGCTATTGGCTGCCCTTCTGGACTTTGCACACTTAGGCAGGTGACCACGACAGCAACCTGACCTTCCTCCTCACTGTACCACCCCTCATCAGTGGTCCTTTCTGACTTTAACATTGGTTTTCCCGGGACCATGTAGACTCCCAAACCCCAGCATCAGGGAATGAGATGGGTAACTTCTATTTGTCTTTAAGTTTATTTGCATCAAGAGATTGAGACTTAAGGGATTCAGTTTCTTGCAGAGGATCTGCTTTGTTCAAAATCTTCAGGTCCCAAGGAAGGCCAGAACAGGATTCTTTTTTTTCCTTTTTTTTCCTTTTTGTAAATTGTGATTTGGGTGAAAATTTACAGAGCAAATTCATTTTCCATACAGCAGTTCACATACACTTTGTCTCATGACGTTGACCACAATTTACCACAATGCAGCAGCTCCCCTCCCACTTCCTCCCCATAGTTACCTCTTCCTTGTGTCCATCCCTCCATGCCTTCCTGCTCCCTGAGCTGTCTCCTTGTGCATAAGCAGCCCTTCTTTCTCCCATGATTGTTCTAACCAAGGAGTGTATCTATCTCAGGTACATGTTCAACTCATATGCCTGTCTTTTGCTTGGCTGGAAGCCACAGGTGTGGGTTCAATTCCAGACCTGAAGGGCAGCTAAGGGCCATAGTTTCAGTGGTTCCACCAGGCTCTGTTGGACCAGCAGACCTGGTCTACCCTCCCCCCCGCCTTTTTTTTTTTTCTCCAAATGATTTTGGGTTTTGTCCATATTGTTCTCCCTCTCTATCTAGGAGCTCTTACATAAATCCCCTTCCAAGTGGATGACCATGGTAGCCGGGCACCATCTAGTTCTTCTGGTCTCTTAGTCATACAGACTGCAGATTGCATGGTGTACAA